AGCATTGGGAGTAGGTTTGACTTTCCGGATGTGTGGAAAGAGTGGGTTGGCGAGGGAATCAAGATTGAGGATCATGGGTTGGGGGATGGGGTTGGACATTTTGGGGCGGAGGAGGCGCCTGAGGAGTGTGCAACGGCCATAGTGGGTTGGACGAAAACATTTATCGGACGGTAAAAAGTAGAGTGATGGAACGTTGTACAGCGAGACATTCCAAACGATCGCAATGGTCTTTCCGACTCGGTCGAACAGAATCGTGCCACACGGTTCAGGGAGATAATGTCAATCTGTCGCCGATCATCCTATGTAATGATATTGGCCAAGCGCTTATCTGGAGCTCTCGTGGATGAGGCCACAAGTCGTAGCTACCTAGGTACTATCCTCGCAAATCTTGAACGGAACACAACGCTCACCAAGATGGCAAAATTTCTCGTGGTAGGATGACAGATATTGGCGCCTACCGGCAGGTGTAATTCCGTAGCCAATGACGCGTAACGCAATGTCGCATTACCGACGACTTTGAGGTATTGACGTGTCGTAGGTTAGGACGTAGTTCGCGTCGAGAGGGGGGCCTCGGGACCATCCGCGCGCCGCCTTGGCGGCTGCTTCGCGTGTGCCACTCCCCCCGACGCGATTCGCTGTCGCGCACCTCCTTCCAGACCTTGCATCGCCCTCGACCATACGGCAAGGGCAGACAGCCACACTAACTGCATCAAACAGGTGCGAATCGATGCTTGCCTAGGAATGATACAACTCTCTATTCCCGAGAGGCATCTCCGCAGCTGCGGCGTTCTGCGGCGTCGCTCTGCATCATGCAGTCTAGATCATCGAATAAGCAATGCAGTGCGATAGCGACACGTTCGCGCGATTGGCGACAATCCGGAGCTGACTGGCTGACCTGCGCAGTGCAGAGGAGGTAGCATGCTGCCTGCATTCTGGGGCACAAGCTTACGCAGAGCGACAGGCAACTCTAGTGCACAGTACCTTCCATGACCTCCTTATCCGCATCCGACCCTCCCACTCTAGCATTGGCAGAATCGATCGGTCATCATGCTTCTTCCTACCGCTGTAGTTTGGCTGTTCTACATCGCTCGTCGCTCATATGCGTCAGGATCGTACAACCTGCAGCTCGCAGCGTCCGCGTTGAGCCCGCAACTATCCAAGGACGCCATTATCACGTTTCCATGGGATGCTCGTTGGGACGATCTTCAAGTCCGCGGTGCCTCACCACGAATATCTCCCGACTATAATGTGGTAGTTGAAGTCGCGACTGAGTCCGACGTGCAGACAACGGTCGCGTTCGCCAATCGTTTCGACATCCCATTCCTAGCCGTTACCGGGGGTCATGGATGGACCACAACGCTTAACAACCTATTGTATGGCATTCAGATCAACATGCGCAAGCTCAATACTACGACACTCGGTCAGAACGGCAAGACTGCTACTGTCGGAGGCGGAACGATGCAACACGAGATTACCCGCTCCCTGTACGCCTTGGGCAAGTATTCTGGTGAGTTGGGACTCGTACATTCATACACATAGTTACTTACCGTCCTTGTCACCAGTTACCGGGCTTGGAGAATGCGTGTCAGTAGCAGGTCCACTGCTGGGAGGCGGGCACAGTCTCCTCCAGAATCAGTACGGCTATTCTCTTGACGGTCTCGTTTCCGCGCGCATCGTCGTTGCCAGCGGCGAGGTTGTAGAAGCTTCCCGGACGAAGAATGTCGATCTGTTCTGGGCTCTACAAGGTGCAGGCCATCAATTTGGCATTGTGACAAGTCTTGAAGTAAAGACTTACGATATCCCTTCCAATTGGACCGTCTACTCGATCATCTTCCCATCTGACAAGGTCGAGGCGCTTTTCAGTCTGGTCAACGAATTCGAAGAGCCGAGTACGGAACGCTCTGCGAAGCTAGCGCTCACGGGGCTGTTCGTGAGAATACCTGCTGCTGATCCCGTCAATGTAAGCGCAGCCTCGCAATACACCTGCCAGATACTGACTGCTCATTAGCCTGTCGTAGCATACACTGTCGCCTACGAGGGCACGGAAGCGGAAGCTGACCCCTATGCCGCTCGTTTCAAAGCGCTCGGACCAATCTCTACCACGGTCTCCACGGACGTCAATTACGTACAGCTATACACGGTGACTGGAAACAACCTCGGAGGCCAAGCTTGCAGGCGAAACCAAAACGTTGCAGGAGCCGGTGTCTCTCTACCTACCTGGGATCTTGAGGGTGTTCGCAGAGCCTTCACGTTATTTGGTAACATCACAGCAGATTCGCGCTTCAATACATCGATCACTCTGATGGAGAATTACGGCATGCAGGGTGTACGAGCTATCGACGTATCTTCCACTGCGTTGGCATCCGAGGAACGCGAGTATCCTATTCTTGCATCGCCGGTTCTGTGGTGGGTTGGCGACGATGCGCAGACCACCAAAGATGCGTACGCACACACGCGCGCAATGCGTGATGCGCTATACACTGGCCTCGACCGCACCAACCAAAATCGACACTGCTATGTTAATTACGCTAACGGAGAAGAGGATAGGCCTGAGATGTATGGGCACGATGCTAGGCTCGCTAAGTTGGTCAAGTTGAAGGGTGAGTGGGATCCGAAGAACAGGTTTGGGTATTACAACCCAATAGTGTAGGCAGGAATGCATTCACAGTAGCAGAAGACGAAGTATTTTGAGGACGACTTTATTACTAAACTAAACGCAAGCGTGGCGAATGATGGTGCCAGGAGTAACTCGCGTCGAAAACCAGCGCAAACCGAAACGCCAAACCTCAGCCGGGAGCAACTCGCGTCACAACCCAGCGCCGAACCCAAACGCCAAACCTCAGCCAGGAGCAGACATCGCATCTCTCCGCTGCCAAAACAAACACAAAAGTCCGGCGAAGCGACTACAGCCATTTCCAAACGGCCTCGTCATCCCCGCTCGCAACGCTGCCCTCTGGATCCCAGTCGAAATCCTTTGCCTTAGGCGGCCACTGCCCCTGACACTCCAGATGCTTTGCGATAGCATCCTCTGTCAGCTCCGCCCCTGACTTCTCCTCCACCTCTTCCTCGATCCCTGACACCTCCCCCTCCCCCTCCTCAGCGGGCAGCGCGAAGGTCCTCGCAGCGTCGTGAAGCTGCTTTACGGACATCTTACAGGCATTGTCGACCTCTACGCGCGCTAGCCCCTTGCTGGCGGAAACTTTGGCCTCAGGCCCAAACTCCGAAAATGTGTGTTTGGTCATCTTCCAGACGGTGACCTCTTTTTCAGAGGCGTTCTGGTCGATTTCTTCAACGGTATGCTTGCTAGCAGTGACCGTGAGGTGTGTGTGTAGTGATTGTCGGGTTTCTCGCTCACCCGAAACGGTTTCGGCATTGTTGAACAATCCCGCTTCGACGCAGGATTGGCCGACGCCAAGGTATTCTGCCTCCTCTGCCATGTACAGCCTGGCCAGGCGCTCAGGCTGGTTGCAGGCGATGTGAAGGCGTTTTGTGGCTGGTAGTGCGTCGCCAAGCACACCCCAGATGTCTGTCCATGTGATGTTGAGGGTGGCGGACTTTGATGGTTTGATGACGATCTCGAGGATCGTGTTCTCGGGATCTATGGCCAGATCTTCCCAGTCTTCTGGGCCCCAGATGGGGAATTTTTGGTGAGAGGAGGACGACGCTGTGGCCTGCGCCTCCTTTGATGTGGTGAAGAGGGCGGCTGGTGACGAAATGCTTGTGACCATGTATTCGTCTTCGTCGAATTCGACGGTTGCTGTTGTAGCCATGCTCGCTTGCCAGACGGCGTCGCGGAGCTCTTTGGGTAGTTTTGGGAAGAGCGTAAAGGTAGACATGGCGATGGTATTGGTAGTGATGTAGTAATGGTTTTTTGTCTGGAGTACTGGTATGCGTACTGGTTTTGTCTGAAGCGAGTTCGGACGGGTATGGTAAAATGGTATGAGAGAATAGTTCTGATGAGAGAGAGAGGGGGGAATGGGCTGCCTTTTATTCAGACTCAAAGCGCGCTAACTGCAGTACCGCACTACTCGACGGCGGAAAGTCATAAGGTCGCCTGTGTCTTTGCTCCACTCAAAGCATCCAACGAGCATATTATCACGTCACAAGAGTCATAGAGCTACCCTATGACACGGCATAACGAATACAATCAGCGCATCGACCAAGAACCGAGACCCGACATTACAGCCTGGAAGTACTCGTCGCGCCATTAGGTGTCTCTGGATACATGATTATATCGCAAAAACCTTCGGCCAAGAACCGATACCCAAATTCACAGCCGGAGGTACTCGCCGCATCACATAGAATTGTATCGCGCAAGCGTTCGACCAACGATCGAGACCCGATTTTGCAGCCCGGAAGTACGCACCGCACCATATGGTGTCTCTGGACATATCGTTATCTCGCGAAAACCTTCGACCAAAAACCGAGACTCAATTTTGCAGCCCGGAGGTTCTCGCCGCACCTCATGTTGTTCCTGGATATGTCATTATATCGCTCAGAACTTCAGGCAACCACTTCAGACCCATAACACGAGAGAAGAGACTCCTGCGATATGGCACCGGTGCAAGAGTTTTCAAGTCATATGATCGCTCCCATACTTACTCTGCGACCACTCGTGATGGCTTGTAGTCTCAGCATAGGCAACGCCCGCTCAGCGACCCCCAGAGTTTACCCAGCTGCTCGAAGCTCAGCCGATTGCGCATAGTTTACCCGAAGCTATGACAAGTGCGCGTTGCTGTGCTCAATCGTCTAAGCGCTAATAGCCTAGTTTGAAGACATGTACACATCGCGCTTTTCAAGTTTCTCAAGACACCCGTTCGATACATCATCCGCTTTTCCATTTCCTAAAGCCGTAAGATATTTCCTATCACTATTTGCTAGTTTATATTGCTATTTTGGATTGCACTGTCTGCTCAGGTATCGTTTCCTGTCACTCGCCAGTCCGGATTGAGCGCACAGTTGTCTGCTGACTAACTCGTCCCCGCTCTCACATACTCTCTTCACAGACCCAGACCTTCCCATCCCTTCTTCCATGTGGTTCTTTCCTGCACCTTCTCCACCCTCAAATCACGGCTCCGAGCCTGTTCGTAGATTGAGTCATCAACCTCGACGACTTTCCGCCGCTCTCCTTCGCTGCTTTCGCTAGCGTCGTTACCGCTCTCATCTGGATGTACGGACTGGTCGTTGCACGGACTCTCCCCAAGCTTGATAGTCTTCAAGTTTGGCCATTCTGTCTGGCGATCTAGAAGATGCTTGAGGTAGCGCTTGGTCTCGTACGTCGAATCCATGATACCGATCTTCTCGATCGTGGTAGGTAGACGACAAGTTCGGAATGTCCCGTACTTGGCAGAGAAGAAAGCGTCTTGTGGGGCATTGAGACTGCGAAGTTTAGGTAATCCAGCAAACGTGGTCATTGGAGTTGTATCGTGGATATACTCTATCATCGCAATGTACCTGACCAAATCCTTGAGCGCGGGCTCAACGTCCAGAGTTAGATCTGTCAAACTGCAGCTCTTCAGATGCGAGACAATATGCGCGAAAGATCCTCGTGGAAGGTGGGGGAGTCGGAATTCGTCGTATGGGTCGACAACAGCGCGGTACAGAATGAAGAGGTGGGTCAAGTTTGGAAGACCGCTAACAACGCTTCTGAATTGACCGTACACACCCTCCATGTGAGTGGCTTCATAGCAGTAGAGCGATTCGAACTCCGGTTGGATGACCAGACGGGTCAAAGTCGTAGAAACTGTTGCACCAGGTGTGATATGTGATGTCATCGTATTGGCATAGTCTATGGTCGCCAGAGGGTCTTCGAACAGGTCGAACCTCGCGGCTTCAAGCCGGGGTAAACTCAGCCAGCTTGATGGTGCGCGTCCATTTGTTGACAACCGTGTCAGGCTAGAGAGGCCCTGGAAGCAATCTGACAAACTCACGTGCCTGGATATGAGCTCGAAAAGATTTTCGACTTCGGCCCAAACAGCGTTGTTCTTGTCTTGTTCGTAATACAATGGTGAATCCAAGGTCGTCAGCGAAAGCGTACCGAGGGCAGGCGTTATGCACAGGATTATCCCGATGAGAGCCGTGTCTACGCCCCTCACCAGCATGTCTTCCCAGTCCTCGTGGTGAAGCGAAACACCGTTCCTTGAATTGACAGTGCTCGTAAAACCCTGGAATAAGGCCAAAAGCTCCGGAATACCGCAAGTACAGTCCTGTCGGCACTCTTCATAATAGCACCCGCAAGATAAGCAGCTCCGGTGATGCGTGAATGACTTGCCGGATAAGCTGATGTTTAGTTTCCGCACTCTGTTCGCAAGATCGGGTCGCTGCAAGAGAGTACGCGCGAGATTTGCAAGACCTCGTTTTGGGGTCGGATTTGGAGAGACTTCCGTGTGTAAGACCTCTTGCGCAATAGGGCATAGCTTCCGGCAACTCAACGCGAGGTGATTGAGATCGTTGCATCCGTTTTTAGTGTCGTCTCGCAGACATTTGGCGACTGCGACTAGGAGCTCGTCTGGGAGGCCACACAAGTCAGTCATGTCGACGAGCGCGCGTGTCTGAGGCGTGGGGTAATGATCTCAGGTGCCCAGGTGAGATGAGAGAGCGATAGCCTGTTCAGTGCTGGGGAGCAGGAAGTCGCGAACAAGCCTAGTCTCGCCCGACTGGGTAAGCTGCCAACGCGCTATCAGCTGACTCTTCTCTCACTTGCATTTTCAGATGTCGCAAGCTCGAGCAGAGTTCACTCACTGTATCGCAAGGTTGTCTAGTGGTCGCGCTGTGCTCTCTGTCAAAGCTCGTGAAGCACCAGAATGTGTCACTACCAGATAACTTTGGATGGCAAAGCATCATAGATTTGCAATACAGCCTATCAATCTCTTGAGTACTACTGGTCAAGCTCTCACGTGTTGGCTCCGCTGCGTCCATCCCTTCATCTCTCTTCTCTGCAGTCGACATTACCAGCTTTCGAATGTAGTCATCCTCAGTGCCTAGATATAACAGCGCCCTCGTTGCCAAAAGCTTGGTCACTTTAGTCGCGTTGGATTGTGTAGCTGCTTCGTGTGATTTCCCCTCTTTGGTCACACATGCACTTGCCTTCGATAACTGTTGTGTCAGCTCCACTCACCACCTTCGCGCCTGACCCATAATTTTATCCAGTCGATGTTTCTATACACCTATATTAAGATTTGGGCTGCTGCTTTCCTTCCTTCACCATAGCCTTCATTGAAGGTATCTCCGTATTTGACTCTTCGGTGGGTCTGCGACAGCTAGCGCGTCCGTCCATTGGGCAACGACTGCCCGGGCATGGCCGCTAGCCACATCGGCCGTGCCCGGGGCCACCAAACAGGCAGCCATCAGTCTTTGCCTGATACGGCGACCTCCAAGCTGCCGTACATAAACTCATAACGTCTTCTCGACAGCTTTCGCGACCATCTACCGTTTACCTCAAGCTACGAAACTCGCGCTGTCCCAATGGCGTCTGATCCTATCCCTCCACCCTCCAATTTTCAGCCACAAAGCCCGCTGTTCTATGTCATACCTGGCGAGATCCGTAACGAGATCTTCCAATTGGCGCTCATGCAGGATGAAGACAGCGCAGCAGCGTATCCGGAAGACTCGTACTGGTACCGGCCAGGTTTCTCAGGTCCGCTCAAGGGCAGCAGTGCGCTTTTGCGCACGTGCAAGCTCGCGTACGCGGAGGGACAGAAAGTGTTCCTCAGAGAGCTGGAATGGGCTTTTTGGTTTAGTATGTTTATGCGAAATCTGTGACGTTACCCCAAACTGATCTCGACGCAGATCGGGGACCTGATGGCCGTACATGCACTCCAGCGTGCGAAAAGTTCTTCCGCAACCTAACTCCACAAGCCGTGCAGTCACTCCAGAAAGTTCGTCTTTTCACGCAGATGTTCTGGCTCGAAGAAGGCGATCAACTATTCTACATCCTCAGCATACCTCAATTCCGACCAACCCAGCTTACTATTACCATACGATACTCCGACTGGTGGTTCTGGGAAAGCAATTCGCCACTGAGTATGGAAGAAAAGTGGCTATGTTACTTCGAAGGAAACCCCGGCTTGCGCGTACTGAGGGTTGAGTACGAGACGCTCAGTTGGAAGAAAGCGGAGATGATGCGCATCATCGAGCGAAACAAGAAATGGAAACTACCTGTACGAAGAGAAGGCGGCAACTTCCAGAATAATGAGCTCGAGGGATATCTGAGCGCTGGGAACACTGAGCTGAAGGAATGGACTTGGAAGGGCCCAAGCAAGCTGGATGGACAAAGTTGGATTCACCACGGTACCGAAGATAAGGTCGAATATGTCGTCGTAACGGATACCTGGAAGTTCGTGGAAGGCGAACTCACCGAGAAAGAGATGGAGGGCCGATTGACCACTATGATGCGAGCACCTGAGTTGACGCGGGCCGAGGTGGAAAGACGCCGCAATATAGGCGCATGGCGTGGAAGGCTTCGGGAGAGGAAAACTACACAGTATGCAGTTTAGTCAGAGATGTTTGCTTCACTGCGGGTAACATGTCCTTTATCACTCTGCAGCGATTACTACATGAAAATTTGACAATCGCCTACCGCTTACAACCCTTTGCGCCTTGTGACGAGTATCCGAGTGCTATATGCCCTAATCTTGCATTTAACATTAACGTCAACAGATTTTAGCGCTCGATAAACCTCAACTCCAACTTTTCTGGCTGTCTGACATGAAGCAGCAGCGGGTCTGCACATGAGTCCCGCAAAATACTCATCACCTTCTGTTCAGCCACCCCCACCTTCTCGCCGTCTTGACACACCACTTCAACCCTGACCTTTTTCAGAACGCTACTCAACACACCGCAAAATTCCACCTGACTGAACTTCATTCCCGGGCAGATCCTCGGGCCAGTCCCCCATGCGAAGAATCCATTACCATTCGTTGGGTGCTTGAGTTCTTCAGCAGACAGTATCTCGGGTAGAGTTGCCTTGCTACTGCGGACGGATTGCGATTGAATCCAGCGCTTCGGGTTCCAAGTCAGCGGGTTAGAGAAGTTAGCGGCTGAGGTGTGAGAAGCCCATGAGTTGAGTATGATTTGGGTATTAGTCGGAAGGACGACATGCTCATTGGCTTTATTGGAATCTAAACTGGTTTGTGGGATAGTACGCTGGATATGTGCAGGGAAAGGCGAACGCGGAAGAGGCGGCGAAGGACCGTAGAGACGTAGCGTTTCGTACTTGCAATTCTGTTAGTCTTCGATCATGCGATGCGTAACAGTAGATGACTGGTGTTGATGGAGAACGAAGACGTACCATGACAGCCATTACTCTCTTCAGTCGTGGAAACACTCTTGCATACTCCAATTCATCAGCTGCTTCGTCTTTCAGGACTTCATCTAGCTCTTCCACTACCCAGTCTTCGATCTCAGGATACACAGCCAGTAAAGCCAATGCATATGATAGTGTGATAGACGTAGACTCCAGTCCACCAACCGTGAAGATGAAGATATTACCTCTGAGTTCAACATCTGAGAGTTTGGACTGTGACAATCCACTTTCAGTCTTGACTTCGTCGTTTGCCCTCATGAGCGTGCTGATGAGTGTAGCAGCTTTGGATCGCCCGCTGACCACTTTTGATCGCTCTCTCACGACAGTCTCGTCCATGTACTGCCGAAACTCACGCATAGCGAGTAGCAGCCTCCTAGTACTGGTTGGAAGTAGCGATTCGAGTATGGGCAATTTGAAGAGTGGCATGATACTCTCTATGGCCGGAGATGTTGAAGTACTCATCACCGTCACTAGTGCATCGCGAAGTGACAGTTGGTGACCTGGTGTCGGTTCATTAACTTCCGTATTCTCGAAAGCGATTGAAGAGATAACGTTGAGCGCCAGTGTACTGGTATCCTTGATCATGCTGTTCGTCCTTCCGCCGGGTGATGAGAGCCAACGCTCGATCATGTTTTTCGACTGTTGCAGAGCTTCGTTCCATACCGTGGCTGAGGCTCGCTCGTTGAAGCATGGCGCTGTGAGTTTGCGATGACGGATCCAATCATCGCCATTTGACTTTTTGCATTAGCTTTTACTGTCCCGAGTACTAAGAATATAGGGTGAACTACGAGTTTCCAGAGCATATGGCACATACCGTGTCAACATTTTGCCCAAACGTGCCCAATATCTCTACAGCCATAGTCAGTCTCCGATTCCAGTTTCCTATCACACATCGTCGGACTCACCATTCACATTATCCGGCTTTACATAACCCCTCCAATCCTTGAGTACATGTTCAATCGTTCTCGGATCACTCGTACATAGCACATTATGCCCTGGCGCCACCACGATAAAGCAAAGACCTAGCTCTTGATGTAACTTGTCGTCATCTTGCCAGCAGCATGTCCAGTCAATGGCCCTGAACCACCGGTATCTTTCTAGGTACGTTCGGAATAGACTGGTTACCAGCTGCCATTGTAGAGTATATGGGGTGACAGGACTTATGATGATGCGCAAGCCAGTCTTACGTGCGGACACGTAATTACGATAGAGTCGGTACAGCGGGTATGTGACAAAGACGTGAGCGAAGAGGCAGAGTATCGTTGCGATGATCATCTTAGCAGGGTTTGGTCGATGATGAGAAACTGTGATTGACTACGGGCACCTTGGTGTAGCTAGAATTTAGAAGACATTGGATATCTGTGATCTGGGTGTCTGCACGCTGAGATTGCACATCACGCGGGGTCACACATGCATCGTGCTTATTGAGGCAGGCGCAACTTGATGTTTAACGAATGAATGTAAAAAAGTCGGCTTCATCCGACTATCGACTTTTCACTTATGCGGAGATACGAACTATCAGACAGAGATAATCGCATAGCAGCAGAGGCATGAAAACGCAATGCGCACGCGCAGCGCGCATGCAGGCGCATATCACACACGTGATGTCATCCTACTCTACATCACAACCTCCACGAGCAAGGTTGCAGCAGTACAATCCTGCCACATCTGAGACACGAGCAAGCCTGCGCATGCACGCCTCACCGAGGCACGTCTGCAATGCAGGGTCAAAGATACCGAACGTGTCAAAACATGCAGAGCCGACCCGCGACGCACGTCAATTACTCGACAGGAGGGATGCGCCCGTCTTGGGTTGAACATGGCATCGTGGACACTTGCAACGTCGAATGTTTGATCTACAACATGTGTTCGCAGGAGATTGCGGATGAGTATTTTGCTGGTTTTACCGTAGTAGCAAACTTGTATGTTTCAGGCTTTAGCCTGGCTTGTTTCATGGATCTGGTAGGTATGTGTGATTCGGAGTGGGTTGGGGAGAAGCATTAGCCGGTCGCGATGAATGATGATGTCGCGATGAGAAGCGCAACGGAGCCGAACGTGTCGGGGGATTGTCAACTTTCCCGCGAATTGGAATGCAGTCGTCAACAGTAACAGTGATGTTGTTTCCACAGTTATTCCATATCGTTGATGTCAACAAAGGCAAGGTAATGGGACCCAATGCGTGGATATGCGCATGCTGCATGTACATTGAGGCAGAACTGTAGGTACGCGTGGGGAGCAGTCGGTGGTCGACACCCGACAATGCCGTCTGCGATGCGGGGTCAGAAGGCAAAGACCTAGTATTGGTGGTTGCAGGGTGTGTAGACGTAAGTATACATGCGTGCTGAAAGGTAGCACCACGCTATGACACCTGGTACCGTGGTTCGCATAATGCGAACCCAGCCACAAGGCAGGCGCAGCACAACTCAAGCAACTTCAACATGACTAAATGAACTACGACGCTGGACTGCAACACGATCAATGCGCGAGTTCTCTCGGCCCGCGATGCATGCAGAGATTTTCCTACCAGATCAGCCCATGTTTCCCAGCCACCCCGGCGTATCCCGGGATGGCTGGCTGAGCACGTTCTCCTCGGTGTATTCGGATAGCGATGGAAGAGCTCGAGCATCCTGTGTGTGGACCACCGTTGACGCGTATCTAGCTTTTAGCAACGCTTTGGCGTGAATAGCCCGGGCCTAGGCGTCATAGCCCGTTACATTCGGTGAGTAGTCCGTTCGCATAGCCACGGATTAGAGGTTCGGCCAAAACCAGCTCGGCTCGAAGTGTTTTTGCTTTGCTCGGATACGACAACACGACCCGGTAGTCCTGATTTTGATTACCTATCGAAACACGCTAGACAACTCGAAGGCTAGAAGGGAAGGCGTAGGTGGTAGGATATCGCGCGATGCTCTCGGTCCTGTGTAGAGACCCTCGGATGGGAGCTCTGGAATGCCGTCATATTACCGACGCACTGAGGTATATTGACCATGCCTTTAAGCGACTGTGGTGATTTATCCAGCCGCCCACTACCAAGGACGCGGGTAACGCACTTTGCTTTCCCTAGCGAGCCGGTGTAGTATCGAGACGATATCGAAGGTGGCGTGTTTCCAGTAGATAGCGCAATAGCGCTTGCACGCGTTATCTGTTCGCCTGTTGCCCGGCGAAAGTACGTCTTTGGATAAAGATGAGTCGATGTATGGAGCGTCGATACCGGTACAGCCGCGTTCTGCAGTAGTATACCGGGTCGCTATGTGTCCATACAGCTGGGTCCGACGGTCAGTACAGCAAGGACGTCGCGGTAGGCTGAATGCACCCATGGAACTCCATCGCCGCCTATGCATAGTTGCGCTGAGACCCTTCTTAGAACGTATGTTCCTCAATTCGAGTCATTCCAAGGTTCTTGATCATCGTATGTAATCCGCTTCATAGCGTGGGGCATACTGCAGTGTACCCTGAATTGTGGCAAGACATACAATTGACGCATGTAGGTATGTCGTGCGGATCATGCACCGCCCTAGCCACAAGCGACTCTGCTGCGAGATGGCAGCCTGCTTTGGCTGCCGTTGAGATGCTGCATGGAGGCGGAAGTCGACATGTGTGCCCACCGGCGACTTTCTGACTCAAGTGACGACTTCCAAACCGTCTGCGTCGCTGCCGGCACTTTAGAAGTACATACATACACTGAGCGTGCGGCGCAGCGGGGGGAGCACGGCCGTCTACTTCACCCTAGCTCGCCAGCAAGCTTTTAGATTGCTTCAACCTTCCATTGAAGATCCGAGGTACAAGAATAGAAGAGCGGTGAAGGTTTCGCTTCTAGAGGATGTTTGTTGCCGGCAAAACGGGTAGTCATCTCAACCGAACAATGAACCCCTCACTTCGATTGTTCATTGTTGAACTTTGTTGAGCATCGAAGAGCATCTGGAGTGCAATCGAAAAGACGCTAGAGAACGTCGGAACAAGCGAGTCGTCCACAGAGCGTGACAAGGGGTGGGGCGAAAACCCATGAAGCAAGACCGGTGAGCGTGTCGACCCGCCAATCAAAATCAGAGGTCGCACCCCACGAGCTGCAAGGAGCGGTCGTGGCTTACTTGCTCCGTCGATACCCCGATAACGGCTCTGCTGTCTCCTGACGTGGCCGGTGGTGATTGGTAGCCGAACGCCTATCTGAACGCTTGAACGAGGATGTGGTGCTGATCAATATGGAAGCAAGGGCTCCAGAATGACCGTCGCGGGAGAATTCAATATCTCGCTCTGAACCCACGACGGTCGCTTCGCGCTCGTGTGCTATCAAGCGAAGACATGAAATTGTCAGTGGAACCGCACGTGAAGGCCTTATTCCAGCAGTTCGATCGAGCCGTGATCGTGGACGACTGAGGGGCACGAGCTTGGCTCAGACCATGCAGGGATACCCTATATCACATGCATATGCAAGTGCGGCTTGCTGCATACGCGGCGTTATCCAATCGAAGGCTAGATTGTCCCAAGCGCGGCCGCATCGCGGGATTGCCTCACGCTGCAGGAACGTTTGTACATGTGTTCGAGACGGTCTTTGACTTGGACGTGGAGAATGATTTCTTTTCTCTAGAGCGGTATTCTCAGTGAAGCAAATGATAAGCTTGGTAGTTGTACTAAGCAGGCTCAGGGCGACGCCCTCGTCCGGGGATACAGACAGCTGTGGTCCGAGTACAGATTGCGCTTTATTGCCAGTTGGACAGGAATGTACACAGACCCCACTGCGTGGCCACTACACGAGAACACGATGCTCGAGGGAGCTAAGGCTGATGCAACAAGAGTCGCCCTTTTGATGAACCCTGTCAAAGGATCGAGAATAGAACGCTGGTCTTGTGCTGAGAGGTTGAAACCTCTGGGCGCTCGACCGGATCGGTCAAGGACGGTATTTGCTCTGACACACTGATGTTGCCAGTCCCGACTGCCGCTGTGGTGGTGGTCAGCAAGTAAGAGGTAGAGACAGGCGCGGGCCTTTCTCCACGATCCGCTCCCACATCGCGCCGGCTGCACTGCACGTTTATTTACACCTGTGCATATCTGCTAGCCACGGTAGTCCACGCGACGAGGGTGTGACTGCGCCTTGGTGAGGAGACGGTGCGCACAGCTCCTTGAACGTAGAGTTACACACGGTAATACGGTACGGGTCGCTTGAGCTTCTGGTCCTACCTTTCGCCTCTGGTGTGATTCACATACTAGCAACTGTACTACCGCACTGTAATAGAGTTCCTGGCATGGCCATTCCAATCTTGGCGAGGATCAACTGACGATGCGATATGCTCCGACGGCCCTCATCTGATGCCGTCAGTAGTGGTACAGGTGTGCGGGAATGTTGTTCCCGACCAGACTTGAGA